CAACTTCATTTACATTAAGGGAAGTAAACTGTAACTGTATAAAAGGTTTGAGCTTAGGATGTTCTGGGTTGATTCCGACTCCATTGAACCCCAAGGTACTACGTTAGGGTGACCATACGTGCCACTTTCCCAGGACGCGTCCTTGCCAGGATTTGTTTTTTCCTGTTTTCATGCTTGCTGAAGGTAATGATCGAAAAGTAGTTTGACCAATAACATGCAGGCATTGTACATAATGGACCAATCATGGTGTGTGTGAGAAGGTGGGATCTACGGTCAAAGCGATGCAATTACGCGTACATAGGATGTGTGCTCGACTTAAAAGCAGCGCGGCTCAGATCGATCAGTGTTTGACATCAAAGTACCCCGAGAGCATTTTGAAAGCATAAGGAACCGTCTGTATGGTATTTTGATGTCATACACCGATCGGTCTGCACACGCAAACAAAGCCAAAACCTAGATATTTTAGGCAATATAGAAATCCTGGCCAGGACGCGTCCTGGGAAAATGGCACGTATGGTCACCCTATACTACGTGTACGTTGTCACTGCTATGCTGCAACAATCTTCATCAAAATCTTTGACGTCCTACAACATTTTGGAGCAATTACACAGTATTGATTTTATGTAACTTACGTATTTTTCATTAGCCTACTTAAAGCCAAAGTTGTGTTTAAGCATGTGTGAGTCAAACAAATATGACCACATACGACTGAGCTTCATTTATTAAAACCCATTGTATAATTTAGTTTGCATAACATATGGCTGAATCTACTGCTGATTTGTTTGCATTTGAGTTGGGATAGCGGGCAGATACAGATAATAATGAAACATTCAATAACGTTTAGCTTATGAAAAGGTCAGACAGTTCTGTACAACATATTAACTCTGTGTGAGATCCTTTACTTGTACTGTAAAAAAGTTTTCTTGGGTTCATCTTATAAAACAACTATTTCATAGTCCTTATTTGAGGTTTATAGATGATGTTTCAAGCCAAAGACATATTTAACAAGGAAGTCAAGGGAGTGCTTCAGTATTGACATTTTGGCAGTTCCACACCCTTTACAATAAGTAATTGTAATTAAAAATGTCTAAAAATTAATAAAACTGATCTGAGATCAGGTAAAAACCATATAGACAGTGGTCCATGGGGTTTACAGAGATCATGGGCCCCCAGTGGCGAGCCATTTAAATTTTTTAAACAGTTATGAGGTAACAAAGCCTCGTTTCCCTTACCAATCAAGTTTATTTTAGCAAGTATACTTAAGTAAAGTTCGAGTATATTTTTAAGTATACTTTATGTAGTAAGTATACAAATATCAGTGTACTAGTAGTATACTTGTAAGTGTACTATTTCAATACTCATTGGGACTAAGTTGGCCCACTTTCTAGTATATGAAAGTATACTTTAAGTATAACAGTAGTAAACTTTGAGTACACAACTAGTTTATATCTATGTTTTTAGCTTGTACTGCAACTATACTAAAATTGAACTTATAGGTATACTGATCGTTTACTAATTAAATACCTGTAGTAGCATTTTTAGTACACTTTGAAGTATAGTCTCAGTAAACTACTAGTTTAGTAGTTTTATACTGCAAGTATACTCGTAAGTTTTCTTTAAGTGAACTGTACATCATACTTTAAGTATACTACTATGTCCCTATTTAGGTATTCATTTGTATATTTAGTTATGAATATCTGAACATACAAAACATCAAAAGAACAGGGTATCTGCTTGTAAACAAAAACATTTTATTCTAGCTTCAAATCACATGACTTTGGCAGTTTGATACGCTTCCCAAATCACTGATTCAAAACAAATGATTCACAAAGCAGTGCCTCGAAAGCATCCAGTTCTCAGTTTCTTGTTGCTTGGTGTTTTAGTTCAGTTCCTTGTATTCTTAGTGTTTTGTATGTTTTGATTTCAGTATTAAACAATTTTTAGCATTCATCTGTCACATTTATGTATAAAACATGTGCTTTTTGCTTATTTCGAGGAAACAAATTACTTTTGAAATGTATATAAATAATATATACATCTAATAATATATAATTCTATCAGTCTTGTGTTCACAAATGTATGTTTAATTCTTACTGTGTGATGTTTTTAGTGGTGAAGGCACTGATGAGCCACTGAATGTCCAGAATCTTAACGGGAAGAAGCACCAGATGGGTGGAGTTGTCCAAGTCCATGGCGCTCTCAGGATACACAATCCGGTGAGTCGTCTTTGACCCCACATCCTTCTCATAACCCTCTGTCGGGCCTTTATTTATCCTGAGAGAAAAGAGAGTTTGAGGTATGCATGATATTTTAATGAAAAGTCTTTTGAAAAATAGACATCTTTTCCACATCTGGAATCACCCGATCTAATGTGATCTCATGACTCAAGGAATTTGACCTCAGCCTCAGTTGATAAATGCACAACATATCCATTCCATCAACACTGATGCTTCATTATTCTCCAAACTCTCATTAACTTGAAAAGTGAAAGACAACCTTACAAGCAACTAAATACAGGCCAATATAATCTCATGTACCTCATGACAAAGTCATGGAAATCTATGAGAGGACCATAATTGGATCCCAGCAGGTTCCCAGAGTTTCCCACCACAGCACAGGTTCTGCAGCGATCTGGACCGGCATCTGAGTAGTGCTCTTTATCAGGGAAGAGAGGAAACAACTGATCCACCACCTCTGTGTAGCTGCCGGCATTTGATTGTAGCTCCTGTGTGATATTATTAAATCAGTTAGCATTTGAATGAAGTATAATCTAATAATAAATAGAAGTGTACTATTTCAAGATGTTTACAGTGCCTTATGATTTTAAGTTGTCATAAGGTCTTTATCTCCGTAACTATGAGGTTTTTAGTGAAAAGTCAAATTACACATGCTTGTTTTCTCAAGTTAGAATAGTTTTTTGTTAATCATCTACCCATAAATACCAATCATATTTATATAAGAAATGGTAACATATTCAAATGTTCATGAATGGGTACAATTAGTAAACATTCAAACATTAAAAATAAAGATTTGGTGTCAGTAAGATTTTTTAAAAGAAAATTCAGCAGTGATGCATTTAATTGGTCAAATGTGACAGTAAAAACATTTATAATGCTACAAATGATTTCTATTTTAAATAAATGTGTTTTGAACTTTCCATCCATCGAAGAATCCTGAAAAAATGCATTACCGTTTCCACAAAAAAAAATTAAGCAGCACAACGGTTTTCAATATTGATAATAGGCCTACCAGTAATAAGAAATGTTTCTTGAGCAGCAAATCAGCATATTAGAATGCTTTTTGAAAGATCATGTGACACTGAAGACTGGAGTATGCTTACAAAAAAAATAAAAATCACTGCGCTCAACTTCAGTTTTGGGTGCGTAGATCAATCAGTAACATCACTTTCAAGTAGGCCTAAGGGATCCGCACTCGCTCTATCTTCTTAATAACTTTCAATTTATTTTAATTTTGCAACAGAGAATGATGCTGAAAATTCAGCTTTGCACCACAGGAATTAATTACATTTTTTAAATATATTACAATAGAAAACAACTACTAGAACTTGTAATAGTATTTCCCAATATTGTTTTTACTGTATTTTGGATCAAATAAATACAGCCTTGGTGAGCACAACAAAGCCACAAAACTAAGTAAAATAAGGTAAGTAAGGGCTGTATATTTATTTTGCAGCAATGTTTCTTACCTTCCACCACCTGGAGACGTTTGCACGTAATACGCTGTTGGTGCTGTTGAGCAGAAGTGGAATGTTGGGATCGTATCGCTCACTGAACCAGTTACCATTTTCTCGGTCTGTCACACAGGTACTGCATGCACACGGAACTTTATTGGAGATGAAGCCGTAAGAACCATAGGTGAAAACCAACAGATAGTTTTGAAAGTACAGAAGTAACAAGATGGTAGTGGAGCTCAGGAGTGCGGTCATGTAGCGCCGATGTTTCAGTAAAACCATCATCTTTACATCAGTGATGTTTGAGGTTTTAGTCACTTCAAACAGAAATATAATAGATCTATAGAGGGAAAGAGAGCGAGAGAGAGTGGTTTATATGGAGATTCTGAAGAGACATCATATAGTTACAGCTATGAATGCAATGTGTATCACTGCACTAGCAAATATATTATAATATTGTGACTTCGTAATATAGCACACCCTGCTGAAAAACAACAACAATAGAAACCATCACAGAATTTGTAATGGTTTTACTGGTTATAATGGGAGTTGTATTGGTTTTAATGGGAACTGTAATGGTCCCTGTGGGTCTCTACGTGTCAGTTTTTATTGGTGTTTGTTAAAATCCTAATGGAATGTCCCAAAACGCACTACAGGAAACCAATGGTTAATAGTTGTAATGGTATTGTAATTAATGTTTGTAATGGTATTTGTAGTGGAAACCATAATGGTTTCTATTATTTTGTTGTTGTTTTTCAGCAGAGACAGAATCTTATTGCTTAAAGGGACTATCCATTTATGTAAACGGAATAAAATTTAAAAACTGAAGAATGGCACAGCAGCTAAAGGGAGTTTTAAAGTTAGTTTAGTTTTGAAGATGATATATGACCCTGAACCACAAAACCAGTCGAATGGGTATATTTTTAGCAATAGCCAACAATACATTGCATGGGTCAAAATTATCGATTTTTCTTGTTCCATGAAGGTATGTTGTAAATGTCTTACCGTAAATATATAAAAACGTAATTTTTGATTAGTAATATGCATGGCTAAGAACTTAATTTGGACAACTTTAAAGGCGATTTTCTCAATATTTAGATTTTTTTGCACCCTCAGATTACAGATTTTCAAATAGTTGCATCTCAGCCAAATATTGTCCTATCCTAACAAACCATACCATACATCAATGGAAAGCTTAGTGTATAAATCTCAATTTCAAACAATTGACCCTTATGACTGGTTTTGTGGTCCTGGGTTACATATTTGCTAACCGTTTGGTTTATGGAAGCCCGATTGACTTTCATAGTATGGACAAAAATACTATGAAAGTCAGTGTGACCTGAAACTCTTTGGTTACCAGCAATCTTCAAAATATCATCGTTTGTGTATAAAGAAAGAAAGTCACACAGGTTTGTAAAGACATGAGGTGAGTAAATGACAAAACTTAAATTTTTGGGTGGACTATCCTTTTAAGCAAAACTAGGCTAATTGCAGTGCCATTCTTAACGTTCTACATTTTATTTTGTATCAAGAAATTACACAAAAGATGATGTTAAACAGATGCTGTTCATATATCCCCAATTCAAAACAAACTATTTTAGATATTAAATTGATTATATAGCTCTGTCTAGTAGTATACATCAAATAATTTCATTTTTTAATTCTTCTAAAAAATGCGGCTACAACTCTTAGAAAAACAACCCGCACTATTTATCAAAGCACCCATCTGTAAAAGTGTAGCATGGTATTGATACTTAGGAAGTTAGGAATAAAGTGTCATAGATCGTGCATACATTTAGGTCCTATGAGACTCTTTGAAACCACACATAAAACCAATTTCCTAATAAAAATCCTCAGTAGCCTATACTGACTTACTTTGGAAAGATCCTTGTAGATGTATTTCACAGACTCCTCAACATATTGGTGCTGTGTCAAAGCTTGGTTTATTAGACCTGGCAATGTGGATGACTGCTGAAGGTGTGTATTGAGTACTGTAACCAGAGCTTTATTTATGGTTTAGCAGTAAGGAGGGGTTTATATGTGACTCCCTCCCTCTGGTAACTCCGGTTAATTCACCTGCTGCTTGGATCTCATGGTTTCATTATGGCACAAGACAATGCATAATCTATAATGCATAATAAATGAGAGTTTGCATAATTCAGACCACTAAAAAAAAAAAAAAAAACCAAAAAAAAAAAAAAACAACCTGCGTCAAACAGTGTAGAAGTTGCTCAATTCAGTGGGAAAACCGCAGACTTGGCAACACTAAACACCAGTTGGGGTGTGTCAGTGAGAAAACATTCCAGATGCAATGGATTTAAATTATGGAAATAAAGGAAAAATAAGGGCACAATGTACTGTATTAATAGGGGGAAAAATCTGTATTACCTCGGCTATTTTGAAATTTGCACTGCATTGTGGTGGTTCGAGTGAATTTAAGACCAATTGTTTGGTGTTTTGAGAAAAAAAAAATTCTTTATGATTCTCCTGGTGCTCCTTCACCTTGAGGAGACTTGTTTCCACAAAAACCGACCTCAAAGAACCTCACAAAGCCAACATCCGTGAAAGAGCTGAAATTGCTAAAACTGTAATCAGACTTGTTCAAATGCAAAAAGATGATGTCATGACCATAAATCCTGGACAGTTGAGCAGCAAGATGAATTTGGTTAACACTGACAATGCGCCAATACATGCACATTGATCAGCATTAGAAAACTCAGGCATTTCATGGGGGGGAAATAGAGATATGATTTTTATTTTATTGATTGATTTTTTTTGTTGTTGTTTTGAAATGCAAATGCATCTTTGTAAGAAAACAACAACAACATTGTTTTTGTTTTAAAAATAGGACTAAATTACATCACTTTCCAAAAGCCAGTCATTATAAAACAAGAAAGTTGATCCATTATCTCAGGTTTCAGTCTATCTTGAGTGGAATCTTGTTATTGTGTTCCAGAGGTGTTTGTTTCCTTAATGTTAGGAAAAGGAAGGCAACGAACAGCTTTCATAAACAAATGTATTATTCAGGTGCAAATAATTCATGTTCAGAAATTTCCCACACCTCTGTAAATATCTAGAGGGGATTAAAGTCATTTGATTTTAAAGGTGATTTGGCAGATCAAAATTATTGTTGATATGTAGCATTCCCAAAATTCTAAAATAATTAATCGAGAAGTACAGTATCCAATCAAGTGGCAGATTAAATTCAGTTGAAGAGATGGAAATATTAAACCCAAATCATAGTTTCAGGGAGCATTCTGTAATGGTTTATTATATCATGTCAATCATCCGCTGTTGAAGTATGTAAAACAGGTTGTTTTACGAACACGACTTGTCCACAGAAGTTTTCATTTTTTATGCTGGTCCAAGTTTCTATACAGGTTTGTTATATTGCCATGCTAAACCTTCACCAGGGTGGTTTAGAAGTAGATTTATTAGTCTAACAGCCTTTGCTTAGTTGACAACCATATAGGGCCTTAACAATTAAGATGCCAGAAGGAAAGTTTGATAAGACCCAATATCTCAAATGGCATTAAGATATCTTTAATACTTTGAGTTAGAGATATACCATCTTTGGAGAAAAAAAATGTGAAAAGGGCCTTTTGCTGTTTTTGAATGGTCATCATTGGCATTTAATGCTACAAAGACTGCTCAAATCAACAGATTTTACACCCAGACCTACCGATCTCTGAGTAAAAATATGATTCTGCCATTTCTGACATAATTTTACACCCCTTTAAGTTGGCTCCATATCTCAGGTGAAAATTGTCACTGTGACCCCCCTCATCAAAATAGTGGATCACTCAGTAAATAAACATCCATGACATTTAAGTGTAACGGGGTAGAGAGAGTGAGTATAGAGAAAATATATCTGAAAGTATGCATTTCTGAAAATGAGGTCCTTAAATAAACGTAATAACAGGATTGTTCTTGTCTTAGCTGTAGCCTTATCATGAAACATTCTGTACCCGGATGCTGCATTGCTGTTTCTTGGTGGAGATCATTGTTATGACATGATGAATGAATGATGTTTCAATCATCAAATATTACCTCAATCAAATCTAGCTGAACTCTTTGATTACCAGCGTCGTCATACGCCATTTTTAGGGAGGCAGCAGATCATTAATGTATGTAATGTGGGGATCAGTATTTACCTTTAAAATAACCTCTCAAATAACAAAAGCCCTTCATATAAAATGGTAAATGCAGCAAATAAAATAAAATATAATTCAACGTAATCCTAACTAATGCAAACACATTTTGCAGATCACATATTCAATTTGAATATTGGTTAGCTCATTAAATATAATAAATGACTTATGTGTCCTTTTCCATCCTATTTTATAGAAGTAAATAACATTTTTTCTTGCAATTTCTTGTTCTCCTCAAAAAAGAGCCTCTTTAAAGGAGTTCACCCAAAAATAAACATTTTCTAAACATGTATTTAGGGAGGCAGCAGATCATTAATGTATGTAATGTGGGGATCAGTATTTACCTTTAAAATAACCTCTCAAATAACAAAAGCCCTTCATATAAAATGGTAAATGCAGCAAATAAAATAAAATATAATTCAACGTAATCCTAACTAATGCAAACACATTTTGCAGATCACATTCAATTTGAATATTGGTTAGCTCATTAAATATAATAAATGACTTATGTGTCCTTTTCCGTCCTATTTTATAGAAGTAAATAACATTTTTTCTTGCAATTTCTTGTTCTCCTCAAAAAAGAGCCTCTTTAAAGGAGTTCACCCAAAAATAAACATTTTCTAAACATGTACTCACCCTCAAGCCATCCAAAATGTAAATGAGTTTTTGTTTCTTCATTAGAACTGATTTGGAGAAATGTAGCATTCCATCACTTGCTCACCAGTGGACCCTCTGCAGTGAATGGGTGCCGTCAGAATGAGAGTCCAAACAGCTGATAACAGTAATCCACACCACTCCAGTCCAGCAATTAATGTCTTGTGAAGCTAAAAGCTGTTTGTGTAAGAACAAGTAATTAAATCATTAAGACATCCATAATAACACTTCGTCCAGTGAAAAAGTCCACCCCCTGTTCTCCTCTCACATCAAAACTGTTTTGCTCTCTTTTTGTAACAGATCGGCCAGGCTCCACCACCACCCAATCACAACGATCCCTCTCACCTGAATTCTGAGCACCTGCACCTGTCACCAATCTAGCACCTCATCAAACCAGCCTGCATAAAAGCACACACCTCAGACACCCTCACTGTCTGGTCTCGTATACATGTAGAGGACTCTATGACTTTGCTACTGCTTCCATTGGAATGCTTCCTGCATTATTTGCCTCCTGTGTTCCTCCTAGTGTCTCCTTGTCTCCAAGTGTCTCCTGTTCCTCCTAGTTCCCGGATCGCTGTGGTGTGTGCTCCTCCTGTGTGCATTCCAGCTCCTGTAAAGCCAAAGACTCTGATTACTCCACTCATCATATCCTTTGAACTGTTCTACAAACTATTCACTCACCATCACGTCATCTGTGATCACCCTACACCCGTACTCTGTGACCAAATAAAACTGTTTAATAATACTAACCTGTTGCGTCAGACCTCTTCCATTACACTTTTTGCTTGTAAATGGTACCTGACCTGTGCATATTTCTCTCCTGAGTAGGATGAGATTACTTTTTTTTTTTTGCATAAAAGCACACACCTCAGACACCCTCACTGTCTGGTCTCGTATACATGTAGAGGACTCTATGACTTTGCTACTGCTTCCATTGGAATGCTTCCTGCATTATTTGCCTCCTGTGTTCCTCCTAGTGTCTCCTGTTCCTCCTAGTTCCCGGATCGCTGAGGTGTGTGCTCCTCCTGTGTGCATTCCAGCTCCTGTAAAGCCAAAGACTCTGATTACTCCACTCATCATATCCTTTGAACTGTTCTACAAACTATTCACTCACCATCACGTCATCTGTGATCACCCTACACCCGTACTCTCTGTGACCAAATAAAACTGTTTAATAATACTAACCTGTTGCGTCAGACCTCTTCCATTACACTTTTTGCTTGTAAATGGTACCTGACCTGTGCATATTTCTCTCCTGAGTAGGATGAGATTACTTTTTTTTTTTTTATTTTTTTATTAGAGAAAGCAATATTATGGATAGAAGGCTCATATTTTAGCCAGAATGATGTTAAAAGTCTGTTAAATACAACGTTTAATGTAATGTGGCCTAACTAATAAAGACACATTTTTCAGTTTGCTCCTTTCATTTGAATATTGGTTAGCCCATAAAATATATTGACATTGACATGCATGTCTCCTGTTATATCCCATTTTATGAAAATTGCTCACTTTTTTTCCCCCAAACCAGAATGTCTTTTAACTCTTTCTTAAAAGCAAATTGAAAAACAAACAACAAATTCCAGTAAAATAGGTATTTAAACGTGTCGCATACAAATGCACAAGCTCTTCCTCATACATTCAGCCATGGCACAACAGATAACTAAATCTGATCATATCACAAGTCATCAGCTCCAGCTCTTTGAAGTTTTCTAACAAGGCTTATGATATCTGGTCTATGATATGCCACTATCCTGTGTGTGCAATTTGGTATCGGTGGGAAACAAAAATGCCATATAGCAGTTTAAAGTAGAAAATTTATTCAAGAATTTCAATTTTGTTTCTTTTTTCAAATTATGAATCAGTCGAGTTTGTTTATTGTACCTTAAAAGTGCCGTCTAAATTATTTCACAAAATCTTGTTTTATTTTCACCATAAAATATGTTCTAATGGTATTTTGATGCTGTTTTATTATTTATTTATTAGCCTATAGGTGTGTATTTTCCACAATGGTTCCACAAACATCTCAGCTGAATCCTATTTTGAAAGCTTTAGTGCACAAAGTTTTTCAATGAGACATCGAAATGGAGCTTTAACATAAATTTTAATTATTGCTTTCAAATATTTAAAAACATTTGAAAATTATATATACACTAAAGTTCACTAGCCTACCATATATATTTTAAGGTTTTTGAATGCGCACCAA